TATATAGATACTCTTTTCTGAATGTAAAAGTAAATAAAAGTAACTGCCTAGCTAGCACTTAACTATTAGTATTAGAATAAAACCAGAAACATTTACACAAATGCTTGACATTTAAATGACAGATGAATGAAAACTATGACTTAGTTTTAAGCTGAAATTTTCCAAGAAAATGCACACAGAAATTTTAATTTTTAGTTTGTCGTATGAGTTGATTCCCTTCAGATATAATTAAAGTCAAAAGATGAAATAGTTAATCACCACCAAATTTACTATGCAACATAAGTTTCTTGTTAAAACTGAAATAAAGTGTGAAGGAATTTTGTTTTCAAGTTATTATTTAAAGTTCATTCAGGAAAACTGGAAATAACTGACTTAATTGACTACATTAGAATCTAACAGTTCATGGATATTTAGTTTTCCTAACGTGGAATTAAGGGCTGGGAGACAATAAGAATGTGAAATACCCAAGGTTCTGATTTTGACCATGGTATCAACTGTATTAGCAATACATGGAGGGAAAATAAGCCCACAACATTTTTTGAAGAGTCTCAGTCTTAACTGAGAACTATAAATTACTCTTATGGAGAACAAAATGCTTTCCTGCATATACATTTGTTCAATTTGCTATTTCAGCTTCTATCAGTCTGAATACTTAACATAATTAGGTTAAAAATAGTCACAAAATGAAATCTTCCCATGACCTATCCTCAGACCTTTCTAGTACTTAAAACCTATTTGGTGGGATCAATGGTAGACAAGTGTTAGTCACTTCATTTAACAAGGATGTTGCACTTTGTCTTTTCAGTTGCCACTTGTTCACTTTTTAGTCAAATTATTTGCATGGGAGAACTAGTGGGATACTGAAGATACAGGGATCTAGGGATGTAAGATTGTAAGAAATACAGAAATCTATTTTGAGGACATGTTACAACACATCAATAAGCTTTTTATTTAAGTAAAAAAAAATCAAAGTTTCAAGTTGCACGTTAAAAATTATCATTCATGGATATAATTTTTACAGAGTCTAGGTCCTGTGGAACATTAGTTTATCTCCCAGTGTCATATGCATGTTTTGAAGATTTTACCACTGACTTGGATGTCACTGACAGGATTAGCATCCTTAACTATCTTTAAACTGGGACATGAAAATTAAGTCTAGCCAAACTGTTGCCAAAAGTAATGGGTTCTGAACTGATTATGTAGGAAGCAAATTTCAAGCCATGTGGTTCACATTTTCTCACAGGTAATGATTCTTGCTTTCTAGTTATACTTGGTAATGGAAAAAGAACCTTTCTCCCCCTTTGTATATTTAGTTGACATGGGGTTAAAACATAGGGTAGGATGGGAAAACACTTTTCCTGGCTAGGCCCACTTTCTAACAGATTGTAAGGGAAAAAACTTCTTCCATATCTCAACTTGAAATACGATCTCTGAAAGTGTTCAAATAAAAACAAAACAAAAAAAAGATAATAGCTAAGATAATATCAAAAAGACTAGGTGCTAAACTTTAATTAAAAAAATCTCCTGCACTGAAGGAAAATAGTATAAATTACATCACCAACCTTCAAAAGTTAGTATGTAAAGAGTGTCTTCAAACCACTGCCTCTTTAAAATATTCCAGGAAATTTATTACAGGTGAAAAATAGAAGTAGGGACCTCAAATGCATTGATTTATAATATCCTTAGATATTAAAAAGAGAAAGTAAACTAGCTATTCTGAGTAAGATGAAGCAAAATTTCAGGGATTTAGTATCTTTGAAATAATACAATTTAGAGCTGAGCAGTGTTAAGTAGAAATAAATACTAGTACACGCTAGAAGAGAAGGTTTAATAATCGATAAAAATGTACAAAAATATTCAAATCAGAAATGCTTTAGAATGTACTGTACCACGAAGTGAATACTTCTCAGTGAGCAGGGACGGTAAAAGACCTTCTCGATGAAAAAAGCAAGAGAAAAGTTGGATTTAAAAAAAAAGACAGCTGTTAAAGAAAATGTTTAGGTCAACATTGATTTTTCTTTTTTAGTCAAGGATACTGAGGATATTGCAACTATCACTTAAAAGTCTGGTGGCACATTCTTTAATAGGTCCTTAAGGCAACAGATTTAAACTAACTTACAATTTGATTTGATGTTAACTTTTTAAAACATCACCTCAAAATAGATGCTCAAAATAATGCCCTCATAATAGCCTTTTTAAAATGTATTTAGATGTTTCATAAAAAATAACGGTGGCTTTATTATAGTAGTGTGTATTAGCACTACTAAAGTTATGGGTCTACACCAAGTTTCCATCAAAAACTTCTACCTTTTAGGAGCTCATCATAAAAGATCACATTGGCTTTAACCAGTTGGGTAGTGCACAAAAAAGCAGTTTTATTGGATGCTGGTGCTTTTTTTGTACTACTATATTATCAAAATTTTTTTCATTATATTTTTAAAATCCAACTTCTACAAAGTAAATCACCTCAGACTTAAGACTTCAGAACAAAGTAGAGACACCTGCAGTTATCAGTAAATGCCACCTTTAATCCATCCTGCAGTGCCCTATGAAAGGGTCACAGAAAGACAGTTATGACTGTAGGAAAATATGATTCTTGATACAGAATCAAAAGTTATTTTCAATTTCCTTTGCTTTTATAAAGTCCACAATAACAATACTTAAATGCACTTTTTTTTCTGTGATACAATTAAAACCCAGTGTTACTTAAACAACTTAAAATAGTCCCTGGTCTGGATTAGACTTTAAATCATACTGTAAACATATATTTGGTATAATTTATTGATCATCGTCCAGTTGCTCCAAAAGGGTTCTTCTCCGTTTTTCTAATTCCCCCTCACTCAGTTCACTGCCAGAAGTATCCCAATTACCCTGTAATGACATTGAATACATAAGTGACAATGTTAGCATTCAGAAAGCTTAAGCAGTAAATCTATGAACAAACTCCCAAATCTATAGCCTTTTCCATAGCAGAACACATTTCATAGGGTTTAAAAACTAACCTATTCCCACCAGTCTATCAATGGACTGCAAGTATTCACTGGTTGTATTACAGCAAATACCTTAGAATAGGACTTTTATATAGTGCTACTTTCAGCTTACACTAATATGCAAATCGGGGAAGTACACCCTGGTTCCTTTCCTTCCTTTTAAAGCAATGAAATATGAAATACCTTGTTTCTATTTAACAGAAGGCCAAGTGTTCACTTTCTAAGCAATATATTCCTTGTTAATCTTACATAGATTTTATATGGTCTGGTAAGCATTTTATGACAGAAGGTTAAAGATACTATACTGTAAATAATGAGTTTTTAAATTTTATTTTTTTCTGCATTTTAGGGAAGGATCTACAGGGTGTTCAGGGTCTCACTACTAGACTGGACTTGTAGTGATTCTCCTGTTTACAGTCTCCCAAGTGCTATAATTATAGGGATTATAGGCGTGCGCCACCACGCCCATTCTCAACTGCCCTCTGGGGGCGGCGGCACAGCAGGCCCAGGAATTGAACCCCTGACTCCTACGCCTGCTTGCAGGTGCTTTAATCTGCTGAGCTATTTGGCTGGCCCTCTGAGTTTTTAAAAAAATGCTCAAATAAACTGATATTCAAGAGCAAGCTGAATACACAAAAAATACTGCATTATCTGTGAGATACAACTTCTTCATCCTCTTTCACTATAAGGATTTTGTTAAACCTACTGTTAGGGGCTGGCGAGATGGCTCCGTGGTCTAAAGCACCTACTTAGAACAAGCTTAACAAAGCACAGGGACCACGGTTCAATCCCCCTGCACCACATGCCAGCCAGCCCCGCCCCCTGGTGGGCTGAGCTGGCCACACACACACACATACACACAAATAAATAAAATTAAAAAAATAAAAATAAAAAGTACATCCATTTAAAAAAAAAAAAAACCTACTGTTAAGTAAAAGATACTGAAATGTGTGGAAGGGTATGCATTCATTCTTCACTAAGGCTATGAACCAGGTTCACCTAGCTGCACATAGATTCTAAATGAGAAGACAAGAAAGGTAGAGCTAGAGCTCTTGTACACAAGTATGCTCTCCATTAATAATTGGCAGGCATCATCTTTCTTAAACTTACATTTGTATAAGGAATTTGTAATGCTGAGGTTTGTGGTACTGTATGTTCTATTAAGTACTTCATACTGAAATGCAAAGCCAAAACTCTGGCTTGCTTTCCTATCCTTCTCGATTGTGATTGTGCGTCTTCAGTCAGCTGTCAGAACAGTATTGGAATGTTTCTTTGGAAACTGGACTCAGGAACTATGAAAATGATGGGTATGTGGAGAACCCCTGATTTAAGTCTCTTATATTTTATATTTCTTGAAAAAAAAATTCCAGCTTTGTGTGATGGCATTCACCTGTAATCCCAGTTACTCAGTCTAAGGCAGCAGATTCTAGGTTAGCCTGGGTAATTCAGTGATATCCTGTCTTAAAATTGTTTGTAAAAGGCAGGGGACATAGCTCAGTGAGACAGTACTTGCCTAGCAGGACCTAGGTGTTAGGTTTCATCTCCAGTACTGGAAAACAGAATGAAGCAACACAACAAAGAAAAAAATTTAAAAATCAGGAAGAAAATATCAACTGGCACATCTTAATGCACAAAGCAGACGACCATGTTTTTCTTAGTGGGTCAAAACAGAATGCTATACTTTTTTTTTTTAAGGAATATAAAATTTAGGAGACTCGAATCAAGGGTAACTCACAGCCATAAATATATTAAGGATTTTTCTCTTGAGTAGATAACTGAATTTTCACTGTTTTAATATATGGTAGACTTGAAAGTCTGTTTTTAAAATATTATTATGGAGCTGTAATCTCAGCTTGGGAAGCTGAGGCAGAACTGCCATGAGTTCAAGAAACAGCCTAAACTACATAGCAAGACACTGTTTTAAAAAAAAACATACTGTCACAGTTTTAATTATAGCATCCACTTTTATCCTTTGCAAGTGTAGAAATAAAACCATTTTAAATACTTACAGAATCCTTCCCAGTCTTTTTCTTAGGTGATTTGTGTTTTGATTCTGATCTCTGTCTAGTTCTGTCTTTTTCATTTTCCCGATCTTTTTCTTTTTTATCCTTTTCTCGCTCTGCATCTGATTCTGGAGAATCCTATGTAAATAAAAAATACATATCACTTTTTAGGGAAGGGAGTGTAGGAGATGGTACCAAGCACGAACCCACTGCACCCTTGCAATGAGCTATATCCTCAACTGGTTTTTATTTTGGAACAGGGTCTCCCTAAATTATCTAGGTTGATCTTGTGTTTCACTTTTCTTAGCGTCTCACATAATAGGATTGATTATATGATCTGCTAAAAATACGTTATTTTTGAAAAACCTTTATATACCTAAGTCAATAGGTTATCATATTCCTACAATGGTTAATATAATCTACATTGTTGGTTTCAAGGATTCGATAAATGATTCATGGGAGACAGTCTTTCCATGAGAAGATGACTTTTTTTTAAAAAATGTATTTAGTACAGGGTCCATAGGGTATCACTACGGAGATCGGACTTGTGATTCTCCTGGTTTCAGCTTTCCAAGTGCTGGAATTCTAGGTGCATGAAACCATACCCAGTCTCATTCACCTTCTCACCCTGCCCTGGAGGTGGGGCCAGCAAGGCACGCCAGGGATAAGCATTGAACCCCAGCCAGCAGCTGCATTCTGCCTAAGCAGGTGCTTTAGGCTGCTGAGCTATCTGGCCAGCCTGGAAGATAACCTCTGATGGTCTCTTTTAGTGATGTTTTATCCTATCACTTCAGATAGGTTTTATCTGTTAATGTAGGCAGATACTGCTTTTTGGTGGTGCTGGGGAGCGAAGCCCAAAGCATGCTGAAGTATGTACTTTACCACAGAGCTACACCACCAGCTTAGATATTAAATTTTTACCAATGCAACACAATATTTATTTAGATATTCATAAATATAACACTATTAACTTAATCACATATAAGGTTGCCTGCTCTGTAATAAGATTCTTCAAGATTATTACTAAGAAGTAGGAATTTAAATGGTTATGTAGACATGTACAAATTTATATAAATAGCATAAGAAGAATAACAATTCAAATTTGTGGTTCCCAGTAACAGGTAAGACAGACACACACCTCTTTTTCTTAAAGACTAATTTTAAAAACCAGGGCAGAAATCCTGGTTGAAAGCTTACCAAATGATTTTAATGGAACACTGAAGTGAAGTACAACTACAAAATAGTAATACCTCGGTTCACAAAGCTTCTGTCTGTAAACAATTCAAAAACAAAAGTACTCAAAAAAATTTTCCTTCTGTTCACAAACTCTGCATCTGGTGCCAAACACGACCAGTGCTATGTTCCCTACACAAACAGAAATGCAGCCATCTTCCCCCAAACTGTAAAACAAATTAAGTTCATAAACTGAGGTACCACTGTATATTTACGTACACCTTTCAACTATTGGGACAACATCAAATTAGATTAGGAGAAGGTTCCTCAGCCACTGAAGGAAACCAATGGCAAAAGTATGGGTGAAATGCAAAAGTCAAAATTGTGCTTACAGATTTATGCCTCCTCTTCTTGCTTTTCTTCTTATGCTTTTTTGATTTTTTATAACTTCTCTCTGAGGAACATAAAAGAAAAAGTGTCAACTTGAGAAATCAAACTGTCAATGATTTTAATAAAGCATCAATAGAACGCTCACCAGACTCAGCACTAGAAGAGTGTTCTGAGGCAGAGTGGGACTCCGATCGCTGTCTTTTTTTCTTTGAGTGGCTGTCATCGTCATCTGAATCTGACCCCTAAGTAATACAAATAATACAATTCATAACAATGCTAACATTTTAGTACACTTATGGTGCCATCTAATAAACTTTCTTACCGATCGAGAGCGGGATCGTTTTCTATGATGTTTCTTGGATTTCTTAGAATGTTTCTTATTCTTTGAATGATGATGCTGACACTCATGCTATGGGGCAAAAGAAGAAAAGAAAATTTCAAGAATGTACATTTGCCTCACATGGCCAACAGAATGATTTGTTACTTTATAGTACTGGGGACTGTACTTAAAAGACTTCACAATAAGCCATGTCATATACACCCTACCCAGTTTTTTTTCAATTTGGAAAATAAGTTGCTTAATTGCCCAGGCTAGCATCAAACTTGTATATTTAAGTACACCCTGTAACTGCCTCAATTTCCCATAGTGCTAGGACACAGGCCTAAACTACTAGGTCTGCCTTATTAGGTTTTTTTTTTTGGTCTTTTTGAGATACGGTCTCACTCACCCTGGCCTAAACCTCATGGTACTCTCCTGACTCAGCCAGCCACCAGCTGAGTTTTCTATGCATGCACTGTTGGTGTATCTGAACAATGCCTAAAACTATGTTTTCTATTATTTTTTCTTAGTTTGCTGTTTAAGTTGTAAGGTGGATAAGTTCCTGATTTTTTAAAAACTGAGAGCAAAATGAAATTTCTACACATTAATCTTAGTATTCCCACACGTTATTTGTAGCTCATTTCTCTTAGAACAGTTTCTACCAAAAGACAACTATCTGCTTAACTATACAAGGTACATCTGTACAAAAGTAGCAAATATTCAAATACTGAGGTCATTTTATTTTGTTCTTACATTTTGCAATATTTCAGTAAGTTATAAAAAGAATTAAAATTACCTCAAGGACATGCATAAAATCTTTAAATATTCTTTTTCTTTCAGATTCTAGAGTTATATCCTCAAATGCTGGCTCTTTTACAAATCTCTCCCGGATCTGAAAAATTCAATTTGGAATACATGAATACTAAGAAAAGCAAACCAGTATGTCTAAAAGGAATCACATAAAGAGGTGAAAATTGTGCCAAACTCACTCCCTGAAAGTGGTTCAAAATTCCAAACCACTTTTTTTTTTTTTTTTTGGACTGGCTCAGGCTGCATTAAGGGTGGGTCTGGGGATCCAACCATGGTATCCTGTGCCTGATTGCGTTTCCCTAAGCAGGCAATTAAATAACTGAGCTAACCGGCAGGCCCCCGAAAACCACTCTTAACAAATGTTCCTAAATGTATTTACATCTAATACTTTTTGTAGCTTTAAATGGGTAAGAAATTAAAAATCTTTTCATTTTCAACTGTAAAAAAAATTCATTTAGGAAAATTTGCCACTATACATACATCTTCCCAGACGGCATCCAACTCTATTGGAGGTGCAGCTTGTTTCAACATACTCTTAAATGCAGATTCTTTTCGTTTCATTTTCCGAGCCTCCTCTTTTTCTCTCTCACGTTCACGGGCTTCTGCCTTTTCCAGCAACTATTAAAAAATTATACTTTACCAGTTATTGATATAATTCACTGTTCTCATATTATTCAAAAGAGCTAACATCTACAATACCAGTTAATGTAAGCAAAGGAAGCTTAACACACTACAGCAGCTATATATATTACTTTTGTATATTATCTGAAGTACTGTCTACTATTCTAATAGTCTTGTTTCTATTCCTCATCCTAGTAACCCTCCACTTAAGCAATTCCACTTAAGCAATAATACTGAAAACTGCATTATTAAAGTAATTATCTGTATAGTTAAAATAACTTACGCTATTGAAAGCCAACTTGATATTTCCAGCATCTAAGGTAGTTGATCGTTTAGTTGAACTGATTATTGCCACAAAATCTTCAAATGTAGTATTTACTTCAACTACAAATCCTTTATCCTAAAACCCAGAAATCCTGTTATATTTAACATACAAATCAAAGCCAAAAAGTTATACTATAGGCTAACAAGACTAAATATATTTACCTTTAGAATGTCTTTTATTATCTTTTTTTCATCGTGATAACGTGCTTTAAGATCCTCAACATAAAACTTGAAAAGATCAAGGGCAGTTGAGCCTAATGAAAAAACTAAAGAAGTCAAAAGCTAGCTCTAACCAAAGAGCTGCAATTACTTTTTTTCATTGTTTATAAAACAAAAATAAAAAAAGCAACCTTCCACCCTCGCAACCACCTTCCCCTTGGCCCATTCCAACTACTAGAATAAGTTTGGAAAGAAAATAATCTCACCAGGCTGACCAAGCATATTAGTAAATCTAATGTCAGAACTAATGGTTGGATACAGTTCCATCCAAGATGACATAGAATGTAGTTGTCCATGTTCATGTAGTTCATCTAAAAATATCTGGCAAAGAGAGAGGAAAACAATCACATTTCAAAAGGTCTCTAGTACACAATATGAAAACAGGTTAAAAGCTTGGCAATATTTTAAACTCTTGCACTGTTAAATGATACAGTATTTCCTGGTGAAAATAACTGTATTTAGATTATAAAAAATGTTCAGAGAAAAGAATTTTTCATTATCATTCTAGGCTTCAGTTTCCTATTCTTCAAGACATTTCAAGGTTAAAAAAAATGCATCCCTCAAATCATAACAGTATTTCCTTTAAATACACTTTCTTTTTAAATAGTGTCTAGTGTATTCCAGGTACTTTTATTGACATTTTTAAATAAGTAAGGGTTTCTAAAAGAATGTATGATTTCCCCACAGTAATCTGGAATGCTAGGACACAAATCTGTACCTCATGTCAAAACCATTTGTTTTCTTTTACATTATTAATATACCCAAAATCTCAATCTTAAAGTTTGCTTTCTCTATACCCTCCCTTTGTTCTCTATTATTTATACTCAGAGCAACTTGAGACCTCCATGCCACAAATTTCAGTACTTCCTCTTCCCCAATCTATGTTTTAACAATATAAATAAATGCATATAAGGAAACTATAACCCTAAATTCTAATCCCACAATTCCTATACACAGGCACTGTCCAGTATGGTAGCTACTGATCAAATACAGTAACCTGAAGACATAAATTATAGCTAGTGTAAATTATTCTGTGCTATGAAATATAAACTGATTTTTAACATTTAGTACCAAAAAAATCATTTTTAAAAAATCCTCTTGTGATAAAATACTATTTTGAACATAATGGATTAAACGGATCAGAAAAATTAAAGACCAACTGAATTAAAATTCTAAACATATACTACCCAAGTCTCCTTCATATAAGTATATGCATATCCATAGTATCACCACTCTGAAATTTTCTCAAAATCCATCCTCTGTTCCTATCCTTCAACAAAAACAGAATCCTACCTTAACCCACTCTAACTGGTCACTCAGGTTCTTTACCTGTTTCCTCCCTCTTAGAAACCATTTTCAGATTTATTCTACAGGATATTGAAATTTACCCATTATATTATGTGTGTTTTGCTAGATTTGTGAAGCTTTTAGTGCCAGACTGTTGAGGTCTACTACAATCATAAAATTGGGGACACTAAATCCATTTTAACAGTGGATCTCATATCCTGAAAATCAGAATCATCTAAAGACTTTTTTTCCCCCCTTAAGCAATATGACTTGAAACTCAAGATGTTTATACTTCCACTTACAGACAGCAAAATACCTTGTAGATGGCTGAGCCTGATCCTATTTTCTTAAAGAGTTCTCAACCTTGGCACTACTAACATCTTAGATGAACTTTATGTTTTTTTCTTTTTGCAAGGGAAAGGAATTTGACGGTGGTATACACTTTACATCAGTGCTTAGCTATGGTCTATGCACTAGACAGTAGTGGCAACTTTATTTTTTAGGTATTTTAGTACATGGTCTATGGGGTCTCATTACACAGATCAGACTTGTAGTGATCCTCCTGTTCTCAGCCTCCCAAGCACTGAGATTACAGGCGCGTGCCATTACGCCCAGTCTCGACTGCCATCCCAGCATGCCTCAGGGGTGGGGCTAGTACAGCACGCTTGGGATCGGACCCTGGTCCCTGAGCTTTAATCTACTGAGCTATCTGGCTGGCCCAGCAGTCACAACTTTGCATCAAATAGTGACAAAATTTTTCCTTGTTGAGCAATCGCCTTAAATCCAACAATAGTAACTTTTCCTCCTCTTTTCCTCTTTCCTTCACTTTGTCATGTTTTTTGCTCACCATGTAACTATATATATATATATATATATATATATATATATATGCTTGAATTCAAGGCTTCAACATTGTGATTTATCTGAGACACTTCCATTTTTCAATTCCTAATATATGGATTCTTAGGCTCTAGTTCCAAAATCTGATTTAGGAGTTCTACTGAGAAGTCTGAGAGTTGACATTGTGGTAACTTCCCTATGACATGGGTTGCATCTAAGTGCACTTGAGCACAATGTTTTGAAAACCACTGATACATCATAAAATTATCTTGGCTTCTGCAAAATGAACATTTTCCTGGTTCTTGTTAAATCTTCAAATCAATCTGTATTTGACGTGAATTAGAACAGTAGTTCTAAGACTAAAAACAATCCACCAGAGTTTTGTCAAGGACATGACAAATATTTATTATTGTTTGGCCAATGAGTAGCTAATGAAAAGATAGTGATCATAACTATTATAGAACAGTTTAATAGCTCAATATATTGAAGTGCCAGGGGTCAGGGGCTTGATCCCCAGGCCTGCAGTGCCTGGCCCAGCCCCTAGGGCAAGCTGAGACTGGCCGTGTGGCGCGTGCCTATAATCCCAGCTCTTTGGAGGCTGTAAACAGGTGGATTACTACAAGTCTGATCTAGTAGTGAGACCCTGAACACCCTGTAGACCCTTCCCTAAAAAAAAAATACAAAAATAAAAATAATACTTTACCCATTCATGACCACTTCTTGTGCCAGTTTTAATCAATCTTATTGAAATTCTAAATATATCTCATAGTCTCACATTTTATAATCTGTAGCTTGAAAATCTACATTATATTCTCACATTTTGTTACCTTATCTTTTTCATTTATTTATTTACTTTTTTCTGTATTCAGAGGGGTCTACAGGGTGTTTAGGGTCTCTCTGACTACTAGATTGGACTCAAAGTGATTCTCCTGTTTACAGCCTCCCAAGTGATGGGATTACAGGCACACACCACCACATCCAGTCTCAAATGGCTTCTCAGCACGCCCCAAGGGTGGGGCCGGCATGCCCGGGGATCAAACCCTGACCCCTGCTTGCAGGTGCTTTAATCCGCTGAACTATGTGGCTGGTCCTCTATCTTTTTAGTTCAAATAAAGTTCTATTTATTGGGGCCGGGAGATGGCTCAGTGGAATAAATGCTTCCCTGGAAAGCGCAAGGCCTGAGTTCAATCCCTGGTTCCACATACACAATGAACGTTTTACTTATTGTCTCATTCTTCTATGTCAAAATTAGGGGCCGGGGAGAGGGCTCAGTAGACTAAGCACTTGCCTGGCAAATGCAAGAGCATGCGTTCAGTCCCTGGTTCCGCAAAAAAATAAATAAATAAAAATTAAAAAAAAAATCATACTACTAAAAATCTGCCCTCTCTTTCCTATTCATAAAGTAGCTTATCTAAAAAGCAGGTTTTCTAGCTCTTATATAGCTACTTGATTAGGTTACTAAGTTAGCAAGTAAATACAAATAAAATTAAGAAAAAGTTTTATATTTCTACTTGCAAAAGCACCATCCTGACCATTTTTTCCAAGGTAAAATATGACCATGGGGACAGAATATCTCTTAACTACGCAGTCAGAACTAATGTGATAGGGCACTGGTTCTCAAACCGTAGTGTCCATCATTAAAGGCAGAATTTCAGACTCTACTCCAGATCCTCTGAATATATTCTTGGGCCAAGAGTCAAGAAATTGTGGTTTAAATAATCTTCCTGATGGGCCACAGTGGTGCATGCTTCTAATCCCAGCACCTGGGAGTCAGAGGCAAGAAGGTTGATATTAATTCGAGATCAGTCTGGGCTACAAAGTGAGCTCAAAACCAGCTCAACCTGCACAGTGAGACCCTGTCTCAAAAAAGAGCAAAAAATAAAATAAAATGAATAAGTAAATCTTCCTAATGATTATATAGAAAACTACTAAAATATAGAAACTATGAGAAAAGTAAGTTCTCACAGAATAATGACCAGAATCAAGCTATTGCTATGGTATGGAGGGAGGTTTTTCTTTAAAACTCAGACTGGTTAACAGGTAATTTTTGGTAACACATTTAAGTTTTGAGAACCACTCCTCTATAGAGAATGACAACATTCCTTCCACAGACCAAAAGGGGTAATTATTTCAAAAAGCAAGCTTATTTAAGCAGATTAAACTTGCTCAGCATGTAACCTAATGATTAATAAAGGAACTTCCACACAAGCCTACGTGAATTTAAAAATCCTACTTATACAACTACTTACTGAATTTAGGCATATTACATCACCTCTTCAAGTCCATTTCCTTACCTATCTAAACAGATATGATAAAAACAGATCTTCTCTTAATGTGATAAAACTACCATGGAAAACTGCCATTACAAAATTTTTGAGAACAGAAAGGGGTAATGTGGTGAAATAATAAGTGTAAAACTATACTGTTCTTTGACTTTCTCTATTACTGAGTGACACAACTGATACAAAAGAAAATTAACAAGTAGCTAAGAACATGTAATCTCGGCTTCAATAATTAAAGAGATTACACCCCATTGCTAAAATGTATGAGGGGGGCCGGAGAGATAGCTCAGTAGAATAAGCACTTCCTTAGCAAGCACCAAGGCCTGAGTTCAATCCCTGGTCCCACAAGAAAAAAAAAAAAAAAATAAATAAATAAATACATACATAAATTTTAAAAATAAATAAAATTTAAAAAGTAACAAAATATACAAGGGTATTTCTGTGTTCTCTGGAAACTGTGCATCGTATCATTGCTCAAGCTCAGGAAGCACACTATAAAACTAAGCTATAAAAAATAATTTTTCTTTTTTTTTTTTCCCTTGCAACAGGGCCATGCTATGTAGCCCAGTCTGGCCTTAAGCACACAGCAAACCTCCTGCCTCAGCCTCCTTTGTGCCTATTACAGGTACATCCCACCATGCACTGCTAAAGGAGATGTTTTCTATTACCTGGAAAGATTCCCTATTTTTACGCTGCCGTCGCCTTTCTCTCAGCAAGCTTTTCTGCTTTTCTTCTTCCTCCTCCTTTTCTAAAGCCCGAATGTGTTCTTCAAAGCAAATTAATGCATCTTCTTTGTCCATGTCTAAAATATTTTTCAGATAAAAATTACAATTTCAAATATGAGGAAAGCAGCTTATTTGCATTAAATATCCGTAAATTTCAATTTTGTCCTTTCAAAAGTATCTGTACTTAAACTCAAATACAACTTATAATCACATTAAATAGGAAAGTTCTATGTAAAAATTCACAAAGAACTCACATAAGTGATGATGCAACAAAGAGTATGTATATAAAGTTGTCATGTTAAAATATTCAGCAGAATATTCTAATTCTCCCACTTTTTTTTTCAAAGTTTTATTGATAAACAGATAGCAATGAGACAGTTTCAAATCAAATCGGAAGTACAGTTTCAACAAATAATACACTGCATATATTC